TGAACAGGTGCTCCCGAAAACACGAGCACCCGATATCCAGCACCACCCTGATGGTGAGGGCGATGTTTGTGACGTTCGGGATGGAGCAGAGCAGACGTGATGACTACGACACAGATGCCAGTCTTGAGTACTGCGAGGAGGAAACGCAACAGCAGTTTCTGGATTTCTATGAAGACGCTCTGCCAGAGTTCAAGAACGCGGGGAAGGTGGTGCAGTTCAAGGTAACTAAAATAAAAAAAACATATTCCAAACCAAATGGTCCGATTGTAACTCATTTCCTCTCCACATGGAGGATAGTCGAAAGGTGATCGCAACAGTTTACAATCTGGCACTGGCATTGGCCTATTTTTCACAATAATCATTTTTTTTGTTAGGCAATGTTCCCTTTCATTGGCCGTAATGGGCACACAACAAAGGAAATAGTATCTTTGATGATAGTGGTCTGAAATCCTTTCAGAACATTAAAGCCCAATATTATTTACCAGGTACTTCTTTTTTATGTTTTTTTGCATATCTGATCGGCCCTTTGAGCATATGGAGTGCCTTGGGATTCCATATTACCTATTTTGTAATTCACCTTTTGTGCAAAATAATTCTTTCCTTCTGTTTCAGTTATTTATCTTTATCTTCTTAAAAATTCCTATAAACTATTATCTATTATAACTGTTCGGGCCTAGGATCTTAATGAGGATGTGCATGATTTTGATCAGGTATGGGGGATGTTTAAAGGAGTAGTTCACTTTAAAAATATTTTGCTGATAATTTACTCACCCCCATGTCATCCAAGATGTCATTCTTTCTTCAGTCGAAAAGAAATTAAGGTTTTTGATGAAAACATTCCAGGATTTTTCTCCATATAATGCACTTTACTGGTAACCAAACGGTTCAAGGTCCAAAAGACAGTTTCACTGCAAACTGTTCAAACGGCTTTAAACAACACCAGACGATGAATAAGGGTCTTATCAAGCGAAACGAATGCTTATTTAAAAAAAAAATAATAAAGTTTAAGTTTTATAAGCACAAATGCTCGCCTTGCTCTGTTCTGTGTGACTCTCCTGTTTGAACTCGTTCATCAAAATGAACAAATCTTTTTCCGAGTCAATTTGTTCATTTCGCTCGTTAAATGAACCAAATGACTCGAAAAAAGGTTCGTTCATTTTGATGTATGAGTTTGAACAGGAGAGTCACGAACGCGCATCACAGTACAGAGCAAGGCGACCATTTGAGCTTATAAAATTTAAACTTTGTTATATATTTTTTTTTAAATGACTGATCGTTTCGCTTGATAAGACCCTTGTTCATCGTCTGGAATCGTTTAAAGCCCTTTGAACAGTTTGCACAGAAACCTGTCTTTTGGACCTTGAACCGTTTGGTGCCCAGTAAAGTGCATTATATGGAGAAAAAGCCATATAATTTATTATTTATTTAAGTCGTTGAGCTGTTCACACCACACAAGACAACGTGATTGATCCACAACAGGAGGTAACGCACTACACGAGCTGACAACAACTCTGTCACCCAACGATTCTATCTAGTCTACAAACCACGTTTTGTCACGAAAAATCACTCAATAAAATGAACCGGTAATGACGTTAAACAGCACGTGTGCCAATACCCAGTGAAGAAGACAAAGAACACAACACGTGAATATGGACGTCAGACAGAAACTATTGCTGCAAACTGTTTGCGCGATGATTTGCTCTGAGAAAAAAATGCAAAAAAATAAAGATTTACTCGGTGACCTCAACCCATGCCTTGCTCTGATTGGCTGTACTCATGACATCACTGAGGTTGAGTCGTCTCTGGATATCTAGCATGCTAGATATTTGTCTGGACTTGGCAACGCGTCTGCGAGTGTCTTTGATGCGTTGTCGGCTCTTTCATACTAATAGATTGTCGACCGTTCATCGCCCACTAATCCCCCGTGATTTGCACGCGATAAAACCCTGACCTGTCGGCAAGCTCAATGATTTGCAAATCTGGTTTAAATCGGCTTTAAAATCATGTAGTGTGAACTAGGCTTAAGTGTAATCTATGTTCTCAAGGATCTCAGGGCACATACTTGTTCTTCTTCTGGGAGTGTCCCTCACTCATATCTGTTATGCACTGATATATGTTTGTATCCATGTCATTTCTTTTTGAATGATTTTGAAGATCTTAGCTTATCCGTTCAACAAAGATGTTTACTGTTAGCTGCTCTTACAGTGGCAAAAAAAAAAAAAAATAGTTAACCACTGGAATCCTCCTCACACAATGGAGAGCCGAATGTGGACTGTGTCTTTGTTGGACATTGTCAATGGAACTCTCAACCTTTCGTATACATGGACCCCACATCAAGACTGTGAATATATGGCATGTTGCTCTTGATTTTCAACTTTTTATCTTTGTTGACCTCTATTTTATTTTTTAGTTTATTTGTTTTGGATCTAGATTCTGTGTTTGTATACTATTTCTATATTCTTGAAGTCTTCCAGGGATGGGTTCTAGGTTTGTATAGTTGCTTTTTGCGTTCTATTCTTGTTTTTCTTTGTATGTAAAAAGGGAAACTCAATACAACGGTTGTTTAAAAAATACAATAAATGATATGTATTGTTTAAATGTCATTTTATAGTTTGAATGTCATTTAAATTAAATTAATAAAAAATAAATCAGCTTTTGTCAAATTAACAATATTATTTCCACATATTTTAATAGGTGAGCTGCAACTTTGAACCTCACTTGAGAGGAAACGTTTACGTTCAGTATGACACGTAAGTCCCGTATTATTAGTCATTGCAGTAGAAGGAGAAGTGTTGTAAATATGATTTCATTTTTGATATTTCTGTTATATTTACCTGCAGAGAGGAGCAATGTAAAGAAGCTTTCATGATGTTTAATGGCCGCTGGTATGCTGGAAAACAACTGCAATGTGAATTCTCCCCAGTAACTAGATGGAAAACCGCCATATGTGGTACGAAAAAGAGAAATTTCCTCGTAATAACTTTTGAGTCTTTCTTTAGTTATCATTTAAAATATGCCTATATTCATTTTCTCATCTGTTCTCAGGACTTTTCGACAGGCGGAAATGTCCGAAAGGGAAAAACTGCAACTTTCTACATGTCTTCAGAAATCCAGGCAATGAATTCTGGGAGGCAGACCGTGATCTTCATATGTCCCCTGACCGCGGTGGAGGCTTTTCTAGTCGGCATTCGGGAATGTGGTCCCAGCGTGGAAATAGCCCTGAACGATCCCAGCGCAGGTGGACGGATCGAACGATTAGCAGCCGTGAGCGGTACAGTTACAGGGGAAGGCGGAGCCGTAGCAGAGAGAGGCACAGTCGAAACAGGGAAAGGTGGAGTCGTAGCAGAAGCAGAGAGAGAAGGAGATCTCAGAGAGAGCAATCCAGGAGGAGCAGGAGTCGATCCCACAGCAGAGACCGGTTAAAGCAAAGCGAATCAGCAGACTCGAGAAGAAAGAGGTCAAAATCAAACAGTCCAGACCATGTATCCAAAAACGGGTCTGTGAAACGGAGGGGTCGCAGGAAGGAAAGCCAAAGCCCTGAAATCTCTGACCGAATGGATACACATCAGCACAAGCACTCTAAAAAGAGCAAGAAGAAGAAAAAGGGTAAAAAGAAACACAAAAGAAAGAAGAGTAAGTCACGCAGCTCGAGCTCGTCCGCTGGATCTGGCGAAGATTCCCACAATGAGGAGGGTAGCAAGACGCCGTCGAAATCAGAAGCTCCTGCTGAAGAATGTGCAGCTGTGGCATCCAGCGCAGGTTCGCCGGAAGATAAAGCAGAGACCGCAAGTTTGGGGTTTTGTCATCCAGATGAGGAGATCCAAACCCGATAGCATCACACAGTCTCGATAGATTACATACACATACATAAACTGTTTCTGTTGTATTAAAGCAGCTGTTGTTATTTTCGTTTGCATATCAAAATGCCTAGTTTTTACGATTTTTGCTGATGAATACATTGCCTGTACATTTGTAATTAAATCTAGCATTTTCTGAAATCTTGTTGTGATGTGTTGGTGATATTATTTTTTACAAATGGGTAAGCAGTTCTCTGGGATTATTATTGCCATTTTTATTCAAAGTTACGATGTAGAAGTAGCGACAGATCATTTCTTCCATCGGCTGTACATCTGAATGAAACACATTAAGCTTTGGGTGGCAAATTGGTTTTATTTGTTGATTGTTGAATGGATGGAAACCGATCTGAATGTGAGCTTAAAGGGATACTCCACTTTTTTTGGAAATAGGCTCGTTTTACAACTCCCTCAGAGTTAAACAGATGAGTTTTACAGTTTTCAAAGCCGATTTTCTGATATTTAGAAGAATATCAGTAACCAGACAGTTTCTGGTCTCATTGACTTCCACAGTAGGAAAAAATATATACTATGGAAGTTAATGAGACCAGAAAATGTCTGGTTACTGATATTCTTCTAAATATCAGAAAATCACCTGAATGGATTCGAAAACGGTAAAACTCAACTGTTTAACTCTGAGGGAGTTGTAAAATGAGCCCATTTCCAAAAAAAAGTGGAGTATCCCTTTAAATTGATTGTAAGAAATATGTCGCCATTTTGATTAAAAAGTATGGGCTCATAAAACATGATCTCAAATAATATTACAAAATGAATAGTATGCATTAATTAATTGTTCGCATTAAGATTAACTTTGGTTAACAAGTGGTTAACATTCAGAGGCGCCTCAATAAGTCTAAAAATGTCATTATATTAACAGAACTTGTTAATATAAACTTGTTAAAATGCTGAAAATACATTAAAATAAAGATGACATCATATTATGAATTTATTTATTTTTATTACGATTACTTTTATTAGAAGTACCAGAGATCCATATAAATAGAAAAGCCTTCGAATATTGTCAAAGGGGAGGGCCCTGGAGTCAAGAAGGATGAGACTGCTGATTTAGATGCATTTTGTTGCCAACTACAAGAAAATAATCAAATTATGTTCTTTATTAGTAAGAGATCGTCAAAGATTTGGACAAAACGCTGCAACATCTTACTTTATTCATCATTTATTTTGTTTTTTAAGCTTCAAAAGACTTTTTTTCGAGAGTAAGTCTGACAAACAGTCCAATACGATAGGATACAAAGATGATTTTATGGGGAAAAAAGGCATGAAGACGGTGGGAAAAAAATTCTTTGGCATTAGAAATTAAACAACTACTGAATGGCAAATGTCTGATATGCCTGAACCCATTAAGTGTTCACAGGAACCAATCATTACAGTGTTTTTGGTCAGGAATTCACTAATACTGGTGTTTACTTGTGCCTTAGTTAATACAATCATTGAATTTATGCCAAAAAATTCTGAAAGTCTAGTTTACATTATCTCTGTTCACCCATCTGGATAAGAATGTTTGGTCCGTAACACTTCAGCAAGTCTTGACTTCTACTGGATCTACTGAGAGTTGCAAAAAAATACTAGCAAACTGTGTGAGCTGAGTGTTTTAAGGCAGCTGAAGGTAAGAGGTAATGGTTTTAATAGAGAGCAGACGTCGTGGGATAAGTGGGGATGCTGACGCTAATCTTTGCTACACATGTACTGATCCAAACCTGAATTCAAAGTCAAACACTGGGAAATTTGCATAACTGCTAAGATAGTGGCACAGGTTCACTTTTCGATGAGCTCGATTCCCTCAGATGTTTGGCAGTAGAAATGCAGGCATCAATACCTTACCAGGAAGTGCTGATTATTTTAAACACTTTTGCATGTTAACCTAAAATACAGATATAGAGAAAATGCCCACAGAAAAAAAAGAAAATAATATGTGTTAGTGTTTTGGTTTGTTTGTTAGTCCTCAACATTTATGTCAGTCCAATCTCCTCCAGAACACTACGTGGCGTCTCGGCTTCCTGTTGGAGGTAAAAAAAATCAAAGAAAATCCATTCATATACTAAAAAAACTGCCAGTATTTTTCCCAAAGCACATTTAGAATGAGTAGTTTGTGCATTCCTCACCTCCTGCAACATGTCAGCCTGCTCTATGGCCTTCAGAACGTTCTTCTTCGATGTCTCCTGGGCTTCACCACCCAGTATAAACTCATCCAGTATGTAATAGGCTTTCTCAAAGTTGAAGATAATGTCCAGTTCACACACCTGGTTTTCAAACACACAGTTTAAGAATGAGCGGTTGCAAGAGTTTTAACCGAAACTGTTAAAATATAGCAGCAGAACTGGTCATTGGTTTAGTTAGATGAAAATTATTTACTCAAAAAAAACTCACTTTCTTCTAAGCTCTTTTCAATACAATGAAAGTGAAAGTTGAATGTCAAATGTCATTCTTTTCCTCAAACAATGCTATCGTTAGGCTTCAGAAAATTTGAAATCAAGCAATGTGGACTTGTTTATTATGTTTTAATGGGGATCTTTTGTACTTTTTGGAGTCATATAGTCATACAGCTTTGAAAAATCATGAGGGGCGAGTTGAATTATTACTAAAGCATGAAACGGAAGTTGCGAACTTGCGATAGTCTTTTCTTTCCTATTGTGGCGTACTGTATATCCAACTGAAGAGACATACGTCATGAAGATTTAGATTAAAATATTACAAGGGTGTATGTATTTTAATAAATAATGGTGTGCATTGATATATTATTTATAATAAGCCCTGTAACATTGTGTAAAAAAAAAAATTAAAAATTTTGATTTTATGGTGACTTTAACAAGCCAAAAACACCAAACTCCTCTACTTAAGGCCGAAAAGCAAAAGCTGACATAAATCTTAACTCACACTGCCAAAATATTTGTCCAGCAGTTCCACATATCTGTGGATGATCTCCAGGGTTATCAACTCGTTTTCTTGGTCTTCCACAGCACAGCAAAAGTACAGGCTGGCATATCTGAAATGCAAAATAAGCTCACCTCATAAATAGACTACTAAAAGTACGCTTCAGGACACAGTATAAAAGTTGCACAGTGTTGAATACAAAATATCAAAAACAGGATATTTTTGTTCTAAGCAGTCTTTCTTATTTACCTTGTTGACAATATCAAAGATATATGACTGTTACTCTCTTATACTGTAACTAAAGTAGCACTAGGCAATAAAACACACTGAAAGTTGAGATTTGACTGCAACAAATTACATTTCTGTTAAATGTAAATATAAAAAATAAACTCGACCACAGAAAATGGCACTTTACACAAATGAGGAACCAAGTAAGTAATAAGGAGAACTGTCTGTGCCTGTAAATACAATCATAATATACACTCACAACTTTCATTCACAATACTTTATGGGATTGTAGTTGTTCTCCTCATTAAAGCTTTAAGGACATAGTCTTGTACCCTTTTCTTTTTTCCCCAATCTTCATTTTTTTTTTTTTTTTTTTTTTTTTTTTGCTTCGAATCAAAGTTTGTAAGGGCATGATTCAACTTGTAGTTGGTTTGGTTGGGTTAACTCTTAAACAATAACTTTTAAAAAATCCCTATGAAATATTAGTGGCTCTAATGAAATAAATGTAATAAAGAAATGCTCCTTTACTACAATGAACTGAAAATTCAGTTGAGAAGGTCAGGAGGATCTCTAAAATGGGACGGACCATGTTCACCATTTTAAGGGGGATATACAGACTTTGAAGTGTTTAAAACTTGCTACTTTTCTAGCTAGGTTGATTTATGTCCGATAATAGTTTATCACATATGTCCCACACACAAAAAACATGGCAGTTGTGCCTTTAATATTTTTAAAAAATAAAATAAAAAAGTCAGGGAACACCCAAGTCTACCATATGATGGAAAGTGCCAAATACAATGCATCTGCAGTTCCGTCCATGCAGTCCTTATCATTTTCTAACCTTTTATAGACAATTTTCAGATCCCTCCATTCCAGGAAACTGCACATTTTGGGTTTGCGTGCCAGCACCATCTGAATAACCTCACGGGAGATCTTTTTCTTCTGTACGTCAGACAGCGGCACGTACCATTTCTGGAGACGTAGCTTCCCCTGCCTGCTAAAGAGCAGCATGAACTGCATCTGAAAATAAAGAGAAACAAACGAGAGTCTCAAACCTAGACATCATGTTTGTGCCTAGTCAAACCGAGCCACAATAGTATCCTGCAATTCCAGCTCTTCCGCATGGAAACGTTCGTCGTGTCGCTTATTTCAAAAGTCAGTATCGTGCCATATAAAAATGATCAAACCGAAGCGTTGTTCGTGAATTACTTCTGTTTGTTGCAACAAAAGAGGAAGAATCGCGTTAGCAAAAAGGCTACGGCCGTGTAAATGATACATTTATAAACTATCCACACTATTCAACCTTAGGTATTTGCACTATAGCAAGTCCAAATAACTTAATAATGTCCATCAATGCAAGAGATAAAATTGAGCTTTTACCTTAAAGTTTATAATATTACACTCGATTCCGCGAGCATGGGCTTTGTGGCTGATGGCAGTAAACGCAGATGTGAGGAGTCCCGTTACATGGACGGACGCATCTCTCTTTCGCTAGATCACTGAATCGTGTTCTCTCATTGGCTCCGAGATCCACCGATGACACTCTGTATTGGTCCAGTCTCGAGCAGGATGGGTGAAGCTCTGCCTGAGACGGAGGTTTTTGTTATGCAGTGAAATTTATCCTGAAAACGTGACTCTGTCATAAAAAAATAGATACATTATAAGATCCTATCTGAGATTCATCGTGCCACGAGTGATTTGTTTTAACAACAAAGATTACCGGTTAAAAGTTCCCTGTGACTTTTTTTTTTTTTTTTTTTGCTTTTGTTTTTTGTGGGCGTCCAATTACCTGCCAGTAAAAGTGATAATAGGCATATTTCTTTTTCTTTTCTTTTTTTTTTCAAACATGATATAATTTTTTAGTCTTTGTTTTCTTCAGTCCGACTAAAAATAAAGTAATTTGTTGTCTGAGTGAAATTAATGTTGCACTGGACAGATCTATAACAGCATACAATTGATATTGAGTAGGCCTATTGATATTGATATTGAGTTACACTGAATAAATGACACATTGAGAAAATTGTCGATGTTTTTTGTCCAAATTGACATTCACGCTGAATCACACAGAACACATTTTTCCATTCAACTGCAATTCTTTTCCATTATTTTTCAATGTAAACGTGCGCTAGACACTATTATTTAGCAAAATGAATGAATGAATGATATAGCTCTATTTATACTGTACACTGAAAGTACTTTCCAGTGGGATCATTGGTCTCTTCTCCACCACCACCAGTGCAGAAAAATGATTATATATAGCCTATATCTGTTTTACCTTCATTATACGGTAGTCTTTCATTCTGTTGAGGACGGTACGGATCTCCATAAGGAAATTCCTTCTACTGCACATAAGAGGGGAAGAAGTGCAGATGCTCAAAGAGTCGAGAAGGTTCAATACTTGAAAGGACTTGGCTTTAAACCCTTCCCAGACTCTCAGACATCCGCAATCTCTCATCTAAGACCCTGAAAAGGCGCCATGATATTGAGTCTCATCATTAAAGCCGAATATTAACTAGCCTAAGTAGATTACAGTTGCCACCACACTTTGTGCCAGAGGCTTTTTACACTATAACTACATCGAGCCAGACAAAATTACAAAAGAAGCTATATAATCTGAAACAGGAGCAGTGGCATGGAGTGTATAAGGATAAGGGATTTTGCTTTTGGTGCAACCAACCTGTTTGAATCCTTTTTCTGGTCCTATTGCTGTTCCATCTCATAACATCTCTGAGAGGCATTTATTTTTAAATAAAAAATAATAATAAAATATCCGAAAAGTGAAAATAAAGTGCACTTATTTAATATATTGAAATTGGATGTGATGTCCTCAAGTTGATTGGACGGATTGGCATCAACCTAGTGTAAAACTCTTCCGATTTTTAATTGCTTTAATTACTTTTTGAGACCTCAGTAATCACTACATTGATATTTTTGTTGAAAAATTAATTTTGTGATCAAAATGATTGCATTTAGGGCTATTGCTGTTTACATAATTATTTAAGAACTGATAAACTAATAAGTAAAAAAAATCTGTAAAAATATTATGGATAGGCCTAGATATATTGGCCTCCATATCGGTATGGGCAGATATATGTTCATTTTTAATGTGTTATTGTTATTGGCCCGATGAGAAAATTTGGCCGATATATTAAAGCCGATAACTGGTTATTTCATTCAGCTGAGACACTTCAGATGCACTGTGCACCATGTTTTAGAATTGCTTGAAATATGATTAAAATGATTAAAATATGATCAAGATTACGTTAAACATGTTGTCCTGTCATCTGTCATACATACTGAGAACATTATAATTGTGTGCTTGGGACATGGCTTTTAATGGTGAGACTTTTGTTTTTGTAGTCAGGTTCTCAAAAAGGATACAAAAAAATTGGATTTATCAGCCAATATATCGGTTATCGGCTTTGAAATGTAAAGAATTATCTTTATGGGAACCAATAGGGATCATGCTTCGCCAACTAACAGTCTGGGTTCCATCTAAATGAGTTGTAACCACACAAATAAGTTTTCAAGCATTAGAGCACATTAGAACATTATCATGCTAAATTCTTACATTTGCAGAGACCATATTTAAAGAAGCAAACTTTATTTTGTACGTTTTTATGCCTATTTTGAGAATCGATCTACCTTAGATTATCCTAGACCTAGTACTTAAAATGTACCGTCGCCTCAAGCTATCATTCACCCTGCCTTTCTGTTTTATTGCACTAGATGGCGCTAAAATGTCCCTGTGAGCCACTGGATTCAGTAGCAGCGCTGATTCTCACAGCTCTCGCCGGGTGCAGTGGCGTGCGCCTGTAGTCCAAGCTACTGGGAGGCTGAGGCTGGTGGATCGCTTGAGCTCAGGGGTTCTGGACTGCAGTGGACTATGTCGATCGGGTGTCCACACTAAGTTCGGTATCGATATGGTGCTTCTGGGGGAGCCCGGGACCACCAGGTCGCCTAAGGAGGGGTGAACCGGCCCAGGTCGGAGACGGAGCAGGTCAAAGTCCCCGTGTCGATCAGTAGTGGGATCGTGCCTGTGAATAGACTCTGCAGTGCAGCCTGAAAGATACAGCGAGACTCAGTCTTTTGTGTGATCACTGCACAGTTTTCAACAAACATCAATAACAAAATAAACGCAAAATTGTATTGATCGTAAATTCATTAATTGTTTGCTTGTAATGAAATTAAGAAGATTCAACATTCATAGCAGAAGACTATTAAATCATAAAATCAACACTGATATAGCAAGTTCCTCTGCATTTTTTAATTTAATTTTTATGCTCTCCAATTTTGCTATGTGCTTAAAAATGTAGCCTTCACAATTTTGTGCTACTATAAAATATGTCAAATAGTGTCAACATTGCTGTAACTTGTATAAACATTGTGTGTGACTTCATCAACTTATGAGATTATAAACTTATACGACACATTTGGGAAAAGCACATAAAACCTGTTTAAAAAAAAGTGTGTTCGAGCAAGGTTGGTTATAAACTCTGTGACTGTGGCCCCCAATCATTACACATTTTGTGTCATTTGAATGAGTTATCAGTCCTGACACTTTGCAGTAAGTTGCTGATGCATCTTTAGCAGAATGAAAAGCAATTCACGGGTTCACACTTACAAATGCTCAGAGAATAAAATGGTTATGCATGTTTGGCGTGCTGTCCAGGGGGAGGGCTCCGAGCTCGGAAATTGGGCCCGAACCCAGAGTACTCCCCCCGTATCTCTGTTTAGGAAGATAACTAGGCAAGTGTGAGGAGATGGGGTGGTGGAGGGATGCTGAAAACTGTCGAGGAATATGGGTGAGTCGACTGTGTGCATTTATAGGCGTGACTTGTGCTGATTGATAATGATAAAACATTAAAAAATATTATTAGCAACAGAAAGAGAGCAAATAACTCTCGCTTTAGTCAGAGCAGTAAGGCAGTAAGGGGCAGGATACCTACTTCCTAGTTTGGTGTGGTATGTACCCAGAGTCAGCAAAGTTTAAAACTGCAACAAACAAGGAATAAGTTTAAAATATATTTTTCAATAAAGGATGGGAATGATGAAATCTCTAATAAAAAATAACCTGCTGCAGATTGATATGTTTAGATAATACATTTATGCACTAAACTTAAAGGTATAGCGGAGGATCTTTCCGAATTTTAGAGAAGACCCGCCCTCTCCAATTTTTTAAAAAAAATGCACATGCACAAACACAACACTCTTGCTCCCGAGAGCTAGGGAACGTCTATACGCCTTGCACAATTATGTTGCAAATTCTAAACTAACTAAAAAACATTCATAAAAAAGACAACATGTCAAATGTCCTTCCGTGTTTTATTTACTTATTATACTGATCGATTGAGTGACCGAGGACTCAAGACATGATATGTGCAACCCTGTATCACACGAAATACGTTCTGAGGAAACTATTTTGCAAATCGCAATTACGTTACATAATATCTCTCATTGTTAATACGTTATTTTTATACATAGTTGCATATAGAGAAGTAGCTTGTTGCATTTGTGTAATAATAAACACACAAGATTTTAGAATATTTCAGCGTGATACCATTTACCATTTTGGACAAAAGGCTACTTTAGACAAATTGAGATGTTTACCGTGTCTATGCGGTGCATGACTCGTGCCAGGGCTAGCATTGTAGCTTGCATTAACTTTTACTAGTGATTTTAAATGGATTTCTCCAAATAGCGTTACAAACTTTACCTGTCTGGTAGAATCTTCGCGACTGCGGCATCAGTGAGAAGCCCAACCTGTGCTTTTAGCGCACGCCAACATGTGATATTCACCCAAAATCTCTCTGGTCTTGTTTCTATATTCTGTAGCCTTTCTCTTCTTATCATACACTTAGTAAACATTTTTTCTCTTTCGACCCTCAGCCATTTTCAAAGGAATGGCTGAAACCGTAACTCCGACATAATACACATGAAAGTGAAAACTACATAGGGATGAGAACGTAGCCTACGACGGCCTTACGTAAACATATCACCAGAATGATTGACACTTAGGTGGACCAATAGTATAGACTACCCACCCGGAAAAAGAAAATCCTCCGCTATACCTTTAACTCTTTGTTTTATTAAAAAATGTCCAGGTGGGGCATTCAGCAGGAGGCCGAGGAAAATGAGGCAAGACATCATGTCATCAAAACACCACAATTTTGATGAACCTGCACTGGACTTTGTTTGGTAAACTCTAACCTACGAAATTCGTATCATGTGAAGACGTGAGCCGTAGAAGATCAATATGTATGATGTAAAATCTTAGCTAAATTACCAGAATGCAAACTTTAAATCTGCAGTATTGCAGTAAAGTAGTATATTTTTACATTACGTTTCAAACAAGATGACAGTTGCAGTGTCTGTTTCCCAACATTGTGTTCCCAGTACTGTTGGGAAAATGGTTTACACTAAATATAGTGCGGAATAATTAGCACATCTAAACCTCTTTGATGGCGTAAAACTAGTGAAATAGTCAAAACTGTATTAGAAAAGTCTCTGCAAACCATAAAGTGTATAACGTTTTTATTTGTCAAGCTTGCTTTACAAATCTCAGTCTTCATAAGAGCATCACAAGGATGCCATTTGCCAATCACAAAGAAAATGCAAAACTATTATACACAAACACTGTTAAATAACATTAAAGAATATTTACAAAATGTACAGTTTTCCTAACATTCGGCAAGGTGTCTCAAACTACAGCATTCACGTCTACTTTCAAATCAGGTGAAATGCAGTCAATTTCTCCCCACTAATAAAAGTTTGAGATTAAGCTAACGTAAATAAAAGCAAGTGCCTCAAACTCACAGCACAGGTAACGTTACGGGTGGAGTTTGTGTGATTTACTGCGAGTCGCTGCAATGACACTTTTAAGGATGACACATTAAGGAATTAAAGGCTCCGTGGACATGTATCCAACGTCGAAGAATTCTTGATACCGTTGACTGATGAATCCTGAAGAGCTGACCTAAGAATTCCTCAGACAGTTTGAGGTGCTGCTTCATCAGTGTAAGAAGAAGTTCCTGAGTAGGCTTGAGCGACTGTTTTGCACTAATAGGAACAACTGACGACACAGAGCTGAACAATAGCATGAAAGTCTGTAAATTGGGTAGTCCTGTGAAACTTTTAATTTTGCTGTCATCGAAATCCGACGGATCAAGAGAATGATGTTTTAAGTCACTTTCTAACCCGTAAACTTTTTCTCTCAGTAATTGGCATTCAGTGTTTAAAGATTTGATCTGTTCATGTAAAGAGGAGATGTCCCTGTGTGTTTCATCCGTCTGGACCGCAGTGCCTTGGACTTCAACCGTCTGGACCACAGTGTCTTGGATTTCAACCGTCTGTTGCTCTTTCTTTACAGCAGAATTTTGATGCAGGTTCATGAGAGCTGTTGCAGCTAGCTCTTTACTTGTGTTGGCACTGACAAATCTTTTCACAGAAACTTCTCGAAATCGTTGATACCTTTCCAGGTTGTTGATGGCCCGAATTCGATCAGCGGTGGGCGTGAAACTGAATAAACTTGGCACATAGTCAGGGTGAGTAGAGGATCATCACTCTTTTTTCCTGAAAGCAACAAAAAAATGCTTTAGTAACAACATTTGGACTAAATTTCTCGCAAGGTGACGAAATAATCTCTTATAGTAAAGTAAATTGTTAAATTTTATTCGCCACACTTTAAAAACCTTTTGCTGCATTCAATTTTAAAACTACAATCAACTTGGATTTTTATGTCATTTCAACACTTAGTTAAATTTTAGTTGGATTAGTTGATAAGTAGTAAAATGAGTTGAATATTGTATAACCTTTTTGATGAGCCAAAGCAATGCAGATCATTTCATTTTTTTATAATTCTTTTTATAATTTGTAATTAGGTGGAACTGGGCAGCGCATACAAGAATAATCATGAGTTTCCTGTTTTTGTGTTAAAGTGAAAATAATAGTGAGTGCTCTATGTCGCACAGAAACTTTCAAAAAGGTAATACATCAGCGTCGAACAAAGTCCTCGACTTCAAATGGTGGAGTCAGGCTCTGACCAGGAGTTTAGTTACGCTTTAACAATGTAGATTGTTCCAAAGCTGCAACAGTGATAATAGGAAATAGGGATGCACGATATATCGGCCACCATATCGGTATCGGCCGATATTTGTTCATTTTTATGTTATCGTTATCGGCATGATAATAAAATTTGGCTGATATATTAAAGCTGATAAATAATGAATTATTTCCTTCAACACTTGAAACCTGAGACACTTAAGATGCCCACTGTTCAACATGATTGATCTTAATTGTTTGAAATATGATTGGAATCAAAAAGGAAAATATAGTTAAGTGCAAAATGTGCTGTCATATCGGCTACATGAAATTATAATGAGAACGTTATAATTGTGTTAGGGAACGGATTTTAATTTTGAGACTTTAGTTTTTGCAATCAGGCTTCAAAAAAAAAAATAAAAAAATTTGGATTTAGATTTATCGGCCGATATATCGGTTATCACCTTTCAAATATAAAAAAATATCGTTATCGGTACCAACCAAAATGTTCATATCGGTGCATCCCTAATAGGAAATTTAAGTAACAGACATTTGTAACAAGTAACTTGGATGTTTGTCATTTCAACTTAAATTACACTAAACTGCCTTAAAAAAATAGTTGAATCTAATAGTTTAAAGCTGTCTGTGGGGGTAGAAATGTTGCTTTATTCCAAATAAACAGATTATGATCCACAAATAAATGTAAAGAGATTCACAAAAATATATCAAATTCATGAATAAATTAGCCTGGTTAAAACCAGACCATTCTCAGTTGTAACCGAGTTATGTTCTGGCAAAGCGTCAAAGACAAATCACTTCCAGAGGGGCGTCACCAACAGACGTCGCAGATAGACCTAAAACCAATCAGAGAGATGAAGGAGATGACATATGCAGAGCGGCAGAGAAACACTCTCCGAGTGTTGTTCTTTGCTCGGTTTTAAACCAAAAAGGAAATGCTCAAATCGCTTAAAACAGACACGATAGCTGATTCGAATGAGTTGTAAGGGGTAAACAGTCACAGACCCAGAACCAGATATGAAGACCCGAGTAAGAATTATAAAAAAATAAATAAAGAAAAGTTTTACTGAATATAGTTTGCAGTTTCATCAGCTAAAGTCAGCTTCAAGACTCTAGCCGGAGTTCGTAGGCCGCCTTCTTACAGTTACAAAGATCACAGCTGTTATACCGTTTCCAAGGTCTAAGCTACGTCATTGCTTTCAGGTTGAATGATTCTCATTGGCTAAAAAAATAGATAAACATAGTAATTTTCCACACATATACAGATAGACGAAAGCATATCTCCATCGATTATGCAGCTGAGACTCAGAGACACGTCATGATTTGGGTTGCTGGGCGCCAGTATGTCCAGAACAACTCAGTCAATCTCCAATAATGGCAGTGGTTCCTTAACCTGCAACCAAAAAGACTAACACACACACACCGATGGCGACGCACTGCTTTTCCAAGGTTGGATTTGGCCAGGCTCTAATTATAAACAAGAGAGTCGTCTCAAAACATCAAGATAATGCCTTCTTTCACTCAAGGATAGGTAAACTTTAGTGTAACTGAAGTTAGGCTTTAACAAAGAAATGGTCCCTTAAACTATTGGCTTCAATGACCCCTTCATGTTTTAACCCTTTAAAACAGAGAAGCATCAATAAGTTTCTGACTAATGAATAACTGGATTCAACCTCGTGATAAATACGCGAGTTTGACTAATATAGGTGAAATTACTTTCCCAACAGCTTTTCCCACTTCTTCAGTCAAGTTTATATACGCAGCAGGTCCGTGGATCTAATGATCCATAGTAATGTTATATTAAACATGTTTCATGCATTTAAAATTCAAAAATTTTATTTGGTATTCTACATAACATTTATGACCTTGTTACCACGATTGTACTTTAAAAGACAAAATCATCCGTTTTGTCATTTCTTACATCGTGTCTACCCCGTGCGAGTCTTTATACACTGGACAAAGCACAGGATGTCCTTCGTGTAGCCACTACTTCAGCAGAAGAACGGGCATTCGTTTATTATTAATGAATCATTGTGTCACGCTGCGCCGCATCCAGTGTATAGACGAATCCGGCGAAACTACCGGAAGTAAGCAGGGCGCCATTACTGAGCTGTTGCTGGGTAGCGTTGCGCCATTGCCTCCTATTGTTTTAGTTGCAACTTGCGTCCACTGGAATAAACAGCCCGCGATTTACGACTGTCACTAACGTTACAACGTTATCCCTTGTATAATGTCGAGTGGGTAAACAGTTTCCGTTATAAATTGTTTCAATGGTGGCAGTAAAATTTCGATTTTGAAAACACTGTGAATACCCCGGGTCGAGTGCCCCTGTCTGGTGCCGTACGGTTTACAGATTTCCTGGGCGATTTCCATTAATTATTTAATGACATAAGTAAAAAAAAATATAATAAATATGTGATATAGTGATCAGCAAAATCTCCTCTCTTGCTATTTTTTCTATTCAATTAACATGCTATGGTCATTAAATGGCTTTCCTGAGCTAAATGTAACGTTATGTGACATAATTGTTTTCCTGCTGTTATATTGACCTCTTTCCATGGTTTAAAAACACTAATTGGTCGATATTATGTATACTTTCTAGCTGTAACGTTACCTTACCCTTGCCTGTTGCAATGTGAAAATGAGATAAATAATGGACACAAATGAAAAACATGAATTTGTTTATTCGATTTCATTCATTTATTTATTTATTGTTGCCAAATGGACAGATCTTTTTATAGTTTCCTCGTTAGCAAACGTTAGCCTAGCTAGCTTTCCAAGCTATTTTCATAAATAACGTTAATCTGTAAGATCGTTTGTACCTTCATCTGTGACTGGAGGCCACTGCAGTCACAGATCAAACCAACAAGTCAATCTGCCTGGCTGTAGCTGTCATCGAGGGTGCGTTCGCGTTATCACCGAGGTTTGTTTACATACCGGTGCATATGTCTATATGCCTGTGTAACAGCTCAGTAATGGCGTCGCCACAAGATGGCAGCCTACACAGAACGCTCGTCGGATTCGTCTATAGCCTCTACATTACCACAAATTATGAATTACCGGTATACTATGCATGTAGCCAGCACTTGTCAAGAAGGAAGATTCATATATCTGCAGGTAAGAAAACGTCATGGGCAAAATGTGTTAACATTACAAATATGTTAGTATTACATTATTGAAACTGCCATGGCAGCCGAGAAGATAATGGGCTATTTGCTTCTGACGCACTGTCACGCCGCTTGATTCCGGTGTAGAGGGTGTTATGCTCTAGCCTGGATGCCAGCCCGAATTTCGCCCACAACATTTTTTGGTCGGGAAGTTCGGTCTGGACTTGATCCACTGAGGAGTAATTATGATCAGGCAAAAAATGTTCGCGCCAACCAAATTGCCAGGGCAGGCTTTATACGATGATGGACATATGATTTGCAGGGACGTAATCATCACGTTATCAAAGAGCGCTTAACTGGTTTCCCTCAAAGATGACTGGAGCTGGAGAATTGAGATGTAGATTCCGCTGTTGCGTCTGTTGTAAAATGAATCGACTGCGTATTAATTTTAATAGACGAACAGAAAACTGCAATCAAGGCATTTGTCGGTCGGAAAGATATTTTTGCCGTCCTTCTTACATTATTCGGCAAAAGTGTAACTTATCAGCTGGCTCCGATGGTCGCTAAGAAGATGGGACGTAATGAAAAGCCTGTGGCCGTTGTGATTTCTCCTTTGGTTGCACTCATGGAGGAGTAAGTAAAAGAAGCAACACTCGTTATTTTACTTCTAAAATAAGCAAGCTCTGTAGTTGACAACTGTGCTATGCACAGTAGTTGACTTACTGTGTTGCTCTGATTGGTTGTAGGTCTACCGACTATCCAATTGAGTGCAGTGTTTTTTTATATCATAATCAAAAAGCCCAATGAAGCAGTTTCAGACTCATATTCTGACGAATAATATGAGTATGACGAAGTCAGGCTAGTTATGCTCGGGATGGTGATCATAATTTGTGTGTAATCCTGAGTTTATCCTGATGGAAATATAAAAAAGCCTTAAACTCCAACAACCTTTTGGAAACGGGGTGTTTTAACCACAGAAACAGCTGAATTTGAATGAAGCGCTTTGAAGAAAACTTTCAAACAACTTCCACTTGCCATTGCCGGAACCCTCAACGACTTCAATTTTCCACAACTTCAAGAAAAGTTCCCACTACAAATGCAGGTGTTGAATTCAGTGAAATGCTGATGATTCTTCTCATAGTTAGATGGATCTTCTCCATCATTACATCCCTCACTCCTTTTTCCTACACATGTATTTATGTATATTTGTTTAGTTTAATCATGTTCATGGTTTAGTAAATAAAACATACACTTTATGTATTTGGTTCTGATTCACTGCTTGTAAACAAAGTCTCTTTTACGATCTTGATCTTGCTACATTCTCAAAGCGCTGTACATGCAAAGAAATAATTATTCTTCTGTGGCCATGAAAGATACCCTTTTCTTAGAATAATAAATCAAAAGGGTTTTGTTGGACGAACTGATTAATTGATTGTAATATTAATTTAGTCACGGCAAGTTAATCCAATTAACTGACACAAATATTATAGAAATTAATTATTTATTAATTATTATAGAAATATAGAATTATTGATTATTAATATTTCCTAGAGCTAAGTTACTTACACTAGTTAGAAAGCTCAAAGTGAAGATTGGATTTTATTTTAGAAATAAATCTAGCTTTAATTTCAACGCCAAAAAAAAAGCTACTTTTCTGTCTGTGATTGATTATGATGACATATTATATGCACACAGACAGCCTCCACCATTTTACAAGCCTTGATTCAGCGTATCATGCATCTCTGCTTTATTACAAATGCAAAGTCCCTCACTCACCATTGCATTCTTTATGATTTGGTGGGTTGGATGGCACTGACCACCAGCAAAAAATGGCACTTTTGAAAAAATAGCAAAAATTTTCAAATTTTTATATATTAATAAGCCATACTAAGTAAACTTCCAGCCTCCCTCTGAACCCTCCCGTCTCAAGCTATCAGCTATGCTCCTCCAAGTGGTTGCTTTTTAATGTACCCAGGGTTTAGACAGATCTGGGGAAACTGCATTAATTTCAAACTATGTACCCTGGGCATGGAATCATTTGCAAAAAGATCTTAAACTTGAAATATGTATATCAACTGATAAATTTAAGAGCATCATAAAGAAAAAATGTGTTAAAGGACACATGTGGTTGTTTTTCTTGAGAGACCATTGTGTTTGAATGATTTTTGCATGATTGTAGGTAGCATATTTTACTATGTTGTGTATGTCTGCTACCTTGTATGTAAGTTAGCATTATAGCTGTATCATTTGTTGTGTTTATGTACGTTATGGCTGCCAACGACGTTACCATGGCCATGTCTCTCTTGTAAAAGAGATTTTAGATCTCAATGAGACTTCCTGGTAAAATAAAGGTAAAATAAAATAAACATTCACCATACCTGACACAAAATGGCAACTGCAGATCCACGTTTCGCTGCCTGGATTCCAGTTGTTTCTGCAAAGTGCATCGATCCATTTGGTTCGCTTTTCTTTTGCTTTCGGCAGTCTGTAAAAAGATATATTCGATTTCTTGTTGAATCTGTTTTTACAGTCAATCGCAGAACAGCTCTTTCCCATTTCCCCCCCTTCTACTTCAAGCTCAACACAGTACTGCCACTCAGTGGATTAAACAACTACAGTGACTTCCGTTTATGACGTCGAGTGCAAGCAGAGCATCGGGTACGGTGGCTGAGAGAGCAAAACACAGAGTTCACAAGCAAATAAGCCTGTCTGCTCTATGTCAAGCTATGGTTAGGATACTGTTGAGCCCCGTCTGATTGGTCTGGCAGCGGTGTTGCAACAATCTAAAGAGATATTCTAAATGTTACTCAGAAAATAGGTCACAGTCACAGGTTTAATTCATTTGAAGTACTTGTGCTTTCAAGTTTACACTTCCGTCTGCACCATAGACTGTAAAAAAAGAACTGCAGTAACTGGGCGCGACCAATGACGTCTCTACGTCACGATGTAACAGCTAATGACTCCTTTCAAAAACAATTCATTTCATAGACTCAGAGTCGACTCTCACTTTTGAAAGACAATAACTTTATATATGGTGCACTTTCAGATATAAATCTTTGCAGGATGTTTTCATTCCCTTAGAGCTATATTCCACACCATATGAACAGTCATTTTCAAAAATCCATGATAGGGGCTCTTTAATGTTACACTCTTAGATGTAAGAAAGAAATCTACACTGGTGTTCAGGGACAGACATTAAGCTGGTTTAAATCATACTTATCAGACCGTTACCATTTTGTCTATTTAAATCTCTTAAAAATCGAAGATGACGTCTGTAGACTATGGAGAATCGGTGTTAGGCCCTCTGCTATTCTCAATATATATGCTGCCACTTGGTAATATTATAAGAAAACATGGAATTAATTTCCACTGTTATGCTGACGACAGTCAATTATATATTTCATCATGACCAAATGAAAACACTAACTCATCTAAATTGACAGAGTGTCTTAAAGATATAAAATGCTGGATGACGTGTAATTTTCCTGCTATTAAATTCAGATAAAACGGAGGTATAACTACGGTTAAAAAAACTACTTACAGTTACTTTACCCACTACAGTAAAAGACCTGGGTGTACTAGACTGCAACGACTGCAGTGCACTGCCGAATAATATTTAGCAGAATATTAAAAATATCAGAAGTTCAACAATAATAACCCTGTGTTGTAGGTTGCTAGAGTGTCCTTATTTGACTGCATTTAGCTTATATAAGAAAATGTTAAAAATGTAAATTGTATTAAAGTTATTTTCCTGAGTAAATGGTTTCTTATGTCTGATAATATTTATATATATTTTTTTTTTATGAATCAAGATAAAAGACAATATACAAAGGGATTGTTCACCCAATGTCCATATTGAGTCAAAGTTGTCTTATGATATTTTGAACCCCTTTGACTTTCAATTTGTGGACAAAAACAGCTGAAACATTCTTCCATATTTTTTTTTTATGGGGGGGGGGGGGGCGATTCTACATAAGAAAGAAAGTCATACATTGAGAATGATATATATGAGAGTGAGTAAATAAGTAGGCCTATGGAATTTTATTTTTTGACAAAACTTTTCCTAACTATCAATGTCTGTGCTAGACTCACAATCTGGATTCAGCTCTCAGATTTAAACATTATATCGACCTGCAGATTTTTCTCACACTTAAGACATCACTAGACTGTATATGAATAGGCTATAGACCATTTCACAAGATGTAAACAACACTGGTCCAGAAGCACTTCCTGTTTCAGTTTTTTAACACTACATAAAGCTGGGATAAAATACAACCAACAGAATATTTAAAACTGAATCAAAACGTTAAACAAACATCTTTAAGATGTTTTCTTTACATGTGAAATAAAGAAAACAGTTACAAACTGAAACAGGAAGTGCTTCTGGACCAGTGTTGTTTACATCTTGTGAAATGGTCTATATGGACTTTTATATTTTTATGCGTGGTGTACACAAATACAAACAAAATTATTTTAATAGGCCTAAGTAGGCCTAGCTATATTTGTATGTTTGATAAAAACATGTGACAATTATTAAATGACTTGCATTCACTTCATTTATTTGCAGATGTAAGTCATAGGCTAATCGTGACTTCGTACTCAGAACCCCTGAGCTCAAGCGATCCCCCAGCCTCAGCCTCCCAGCAGCTTTGGACTACAGGCGCGCGCCACTGCACCCGGCGAGAGCTGAGAGAATCAGCGCTGCTACTGAATCCAGTGGCTCACAGCGCCCTCTAGTGTATGAAAACAAAATACCAGGGAATGATTAGGCAGGATCCGATTAACTAATCATTTTGGTTGCTATATACTGTAGTTAAAGGTAAGTGGTACATTTTCTTATTTATTTTTTTTAATTGCTAAATTATTTTAGCTCAATAAATTTAAATTATAGCTGTAACCACACGTAGTACTAGCCTATTTATCTTAATCTATTCTAATTGGTTAACTTAAGTGATCTTAGTTTAACAAATTAATCATTTGCTTTATCAATAGGTTTTCAGCTGTTTGATCATTAAATATGTAATATAGGCTATTTGTAAAATTCTAAATTACATTTTTGATACATTACAAAAAATATAACATATTGGTGTAAATAGGCTATATCTAACAGAGAAGCCATATTAAAAATGTATTTTATTATAATAAATAAAAACTGGATTGGATAATTTTATTTGGCCATTAAGGGGCTTTATTTTGTGTTCATTTATTGTTGCTGCTGTTTATAAGATTCCACAGAATAACTGTTCACACAAAATACTGAGTCTCGCTGTATCGCTCAGGCTGCACTGCAGAGTCTATTCACAGGCGCGATCCCACTACTGATCGACACGGGGACTTTGACCTGCTTCGTCTCCGACCTGGGCCGGTTCACCCCTCCTTAGGCGACCTGGTGGTCCCGGGCTCCCCCAGAAGCACCATATCGATACCGAACTTAGTGCGGACACCCGATCGACATAGTCCACTGCAGTCCAGAACCCCTGAGCTCAAGCGATCCACCAGCCTCAGCCTCCCAGTAGCTTGGACTACAGGCGCGCGCCACTGCACCCGGCGAGAGCTGTGGGAATCAGCGCTGCTACTGAATCCAGTGGCTCACAGCGCCCTCTAGTGTATGAAAACAAAATACCAGGGAATAAGGCATGGTGAACTGCATTTTATAGTATGTCTTTGGTACCTATTGTTAAAGATAAGTGGTACATTTTCATTTTTTACATTTTTAATTTAGCACAATGCACAAATCAAATAAAGCTGTTTAACCACATATGGGCCGTAGTCCGAGTTTTCCCATCCACTTTTAAATTAGCACAATTTTAATATAGCCTACTTGTGTTTGTTTTGTTTGTTTGTTTGTTACATTTTTTTTTCATTTTATCAACAGAACTTGCTTATGCTTTAACAAAGACTTTTGTGAATTTTGTGCTATGGTTAAGATCAATGTGGCACAATTGTGTTTACAACGAACTGAATTTACTCCTTGGCTACTCAGAAATTAACACTCAGAGATGTTATGCAAAATTGCTCAGAATTATGCAGAGCATGCATCCAGCAACCAATCAGAAACAAGACTTAGCCTAAGTGAAAGTGTCCAGGATGAGATTAAATCCTTCAGTGTTGTGGACATCACACCCTGAACTGGATCTTTTTAATTCAAGTTGGATATTTATTGACTGAGGATCTTGTGAGTTTACAAACACTAAACTACAGACATTTTTTATTATGTGTTCCCTATATTTGAAATAAACTCACTATACTAAGACATCATAAACTTAAAGGGATGGCTTCATCAAAAAATACAAATTCTGTCATCTTTTTTCTCATCCTCGAGTTGTTTCAAACCTGTATGCATTTATTTCTTCTGCTGAACACAAAGGAAGTATTTTGAAGAATATGGGCGACCAAGCAGTTGACAGACCCCATTGATTTCCATAATGGAGAAAAAAAAATACTATGGAAGTCAATAGGTCCCATTTGCCGACATACTTCAAAATATCTTCACAGAATACGATCATGACCATTCCATTTGGATGCACCGAGGATGAATTGCCTGTCTAAATGTCTGTCTAAATTCCCTGTTTGATACACCTTGTTTGTGTCATACAGAAGTTTGATTATCACCAAAATTAAAAGTTAATCATCCCTACACCAAAGAAGTTAGCAATAAGCTGTAGCACTCACACCCATCATCATGATAAGCTTTGAGAGCTTGTCATGACCAACATCAATGCAACCACCCACAATGGACCCCTTACAGTTTATTCAACATAGCAGATCACATGTACGTCATCTTCATTCTGATGTTCACTCTGGAAGAAAGACACTTAGCCAATACTCTTCATTGACTTTCATCACTATAGTAAACTCGCAACAAACTCAGTAACACTTTGTAACACGATCTTGACTTCCCAACTAACTATCAGACAGTTCAGAATCTATATATCTATTCCCTAACATCCCGCTCAGGACCATGTGGATTGTACTAAAAGCACTGACTGATTACAGTCTCACAGTTCCATTTTCTCAGTGCTGAGAAAAAAAGTATTTAATTAGCCATATTTCATTTTGAATAGGTTATTCTTCAAGAATTAGCGACGGGCCATTTAATTATTAGAAAGGGTGTAGGCTACATTACTTAGTCAATTATTTTTACACACCTCGAAACATTGTTCAGATGATGTATTTCAAGACGTTTGTCAAGTTTTTGTCATTAAAACGCTCTTGCGGGCCGGCAGTGGCGGCTACTCATAAGTTGTCTATACAAACCTTAAGGTTGGTGGTTCAATCGCTGGTTTCAACTGAGCAAATGTCGAGGTGTATTACTTTATGGGGTCTCTTTTATTTTACAAAAATATTTTCCTTACAATCTATACAGTTTTTTACAGAAAAATAATATACCTTAGGCATAAATATAACAATAAGGTGACAGTAGGCCATATAGGCTAACCACTATTGACAGTAGGCCTAATAAATGAAACAAAGCCATTTTACTGTAACAAGTAGCCTACGTTAAGCTATCAATATTTATTGAGGCCTATTTGTTAGGATGTAGGCCTATCTGCAATGATAAACCCGTGTAGAAGGACTATCTTGTTATTTATCTATCCAGTTTACTTTTCTATTAGATTGGACTAGGCCTATATACTGTGTTTATTAAAGTTAAACCTACGTTTGTGAAGACATCGAACTTAGCAGATCAAGTGCATGGGGCTACATGTTTTTCTTGTCATGAATTGAAGAGTTGCAAAAGCCTCTTTCAAATGGCATTTAGAGGCTTTTGCATCTGAACTCTTCAATCGTATCCTATTTCCCGTTTTAACAGTTAACTATACGCTAAATTGTAGGCTATTCCTATAATGCGGTCACTTTAGCTTTGCATTTTCCTTAAATTGCACGCCGTAAAGTCCGTCAACCAATCAGATTCAAGCATTCAACAGTCCCGTAGTATTAACATAATTACGAGGCACAGTAAATGTAGGTCAATATAATAAATAGAATGATTTGGATAAAAAAAGTAATGAATTTCGATAGATCATTGAATGCATTTAGTGTCAAGCATGAAAACTGTCTAAAGAGTTTTTAAGATGAAGAAGATGAGGATGGGGACTGAAAGGATACAAAGTCAAAAAAGTTTAAACAAAAAGACACTTTTCATGTAATCATATCACTGATAAAAATACGGACTAAATAATGAATACCTGTGATGATTTATGAGTCGTGGGAAACAAAGACAAATCACACAAGTGTCTGATGAAAACAAAACTAAAAGTCCATGAAAACTAACATACGTGTAACAGAAGAAATGTCCCGATGTGTCTTCGTAACACGGTCTGTATTTTGTGCTATGTCTCAAAGACTCAAACGTTTATAATAATTTCACATTTATCTGATTTTATAGTTTAGAAATAGGCTACTCATCCCCTAATATCAAGTACAGAAAATATTCTGACTGTAGTTTCAACAAACTCACTGGGTGCGTTAAAGCATCAATAATATAATATTTAGCTAAACTTTCATTTTAAACTGTACTATTGCTATAACCAGCACACAATAAAATAAATTAATGACACTTCCTTAATCTAGACCTAAGGACTCCTAACCACCTAATGATTGATCAATTATAATATTCAAAACTATTATGAAAGTACACACAGTCTTAACTTAATTCAAAAGCAGACATGGGTGAGGCTATAATTTTCTCTAATGTCAGTAATGGAAACTGGCCATTTATATTGCCGAATAACAGCAGGTCCTTGACTAGACATGTCAGACATTTTAAAAGTTCACATATCATAAGTGTTGTCAACTGAATCATATAGCAGAGAGTATATAAAGTGCAGTGAAACCATATGACTTCACACTCAGTCAGCATATATGATTCAGATAGGTCTTATAGCAAGTGATGATGGGCATGGTCCCATGTTTAATTCACATGTACATATAATTTTAAAGTGATTAGGGCCGTAAAGAGCTCCACTTATTTTCTCAGCCCTACCAGCCACATCAAAGAAAACTTCAGTTTTAGACTTCGATTCAGCCACACCATGTAAATATGAAAATATTGTCTTTTTGTTGATAATGAAGATGAACAATTACAATGGCTTCCAGAATGGATAAAATGCAACATGGATGGTTAGCATACAAAATCTAAATGCTGCATTGCTGCAAAGTTGTGTTCACAGTTGTAATTGCTGTGAAATATACGGAAATTCGTACGAATTTTACGAGGTGGCTAATTCGTAACAATTTGTACGACCTCACTCGTACGAATTAGTACGATTTAGATAAATCGTACATATTTTACGAATTAGCCAATTCGTATGAATTCGTACGAATGACCTACCCCTGACCCCGCCCCTAAACATAACCGTCACGTGGGTTTAGACAAATCGTACAAATTTGTACGAGTGAGGTCGTATGAATTAGTACGAATTAGCCACTTTTGAATCACTCGTACGAATTCGCACGAATTGGTCGTGAGATAGGGTCATAGGCGGAAATCGCGGGGGGGTCGGGGGGGTCATGACCCCCCCTATCTGAGGGTTGTCCCCCCCAAAAAAACCATTAAAATATGTGTATTGTAAATAATGTAATGATATATTCTTAAAATAATTAAGAAATAAAATAACACAAATGCAAACGGGGCAATTACGAAAAAAGCGTACTAAACATTTTGAGACCCCCCTCCCTTGCCTCACAGTGCGTTGGTCCACCGCCTCCGTCCCTTTTACCTCAGACACACACATTCCGGTGGCGGGAGAGAAAAACATAGTGTTTGAATAGTTGTGGAACTCCAGTAAAGGGGGTCGCACACCGGACGAGAAGCGTAGCGTCGCGTCGCGCAGCGCCACGTCTTTAAAATGTGAACACATTATTCTCTATGAGTGTACACACACCGGCGGCGCCGTTCGGCGTCTGTCCGCGGCGCCCAGCAACGGCTCAGGACCGTGTTCAAAACCCTGCTGCGCCACAGAGCGCCATTTACATAGTTTTATATACAATTTAAATTATTTTTGTCTCAAATCCGTGCTGACGGATCCTGACTTCGCCCTATGCTGCAATATACATTTAGCTTTGCATTCATTTACAGAAATCAGCTGCTTGATTTTTCAGGTGAGATTCTCAATTCATTCAGTTAACGGATGCTCTGAGGTAAAGTTTTCAGACCGCAGACTCAGCAACGATTGTATTTAATTGTACATAACAATAATAACAGACACTATCTTCATGTCATTAAACATTACAATATTGCTGGCCATACACTGATTAGAAAGTCCGGGTGCGCTGTGCATTTAGATTCTAACGCTTTCACTGTGATTTGGTTGGTTTATATCATTTAATATAGTTCAAGAATTAGTCAATGAATGAAATGAAATCTCTGCGCTGCGTGAGGAGAGTATGTAAACAGATTCGCTGCTGGCTTAAACCAGAAAGAAATTTTAAGAAGTATAATGAAATGGTCCCCATGCTACACTAATAATAGTAGTAAGGCTTTCCTCTGTATTTTTTTGCCTGTATTATTGGTGTCCCCTTCAAAATTTGCTCTTGAGAATTGTTATGTTTATTGTCCCCCCCAACATTTTGATGAAATTTTCGCCCCTGGATAGGGTAGGGATTTGAGAATTTATTAACAAAATCTGTGATTCTCTCAATGAAACCTGTATTGTGGCGTCCAAGAATCAAGAATGTATTTGAAATTTCAAACTCATGGCATTTCCTAACAACTTTACATTTTGGCAAATTTGCGGTCAAACCTCAAATCTCATTTGTCTTCCATGTAAGTTTTGTACAATCTGCTTATGTCTAAGACTCATTGATACAAATTCATATGAAATTTCCACCTCATACACTGTAAAAAATATATTGTTAGTTTCACTTCAACAAATAAAGTAACCTTGTTGCCTTACAATTTTAAGTTAATACAATAAAGGAGATTGGTTTGATCAATGGAAACTCAAAATATTATGTTATCTGAACCACATGAATTATCTAACTTAATCTAAATTGATTTGACATAGTAAAAATGTTGCGATAACAAATCTTGAATATATTTTTTTTACAGTGTAAAATAGTGGCGAAAATTTCGGTACAATAAAAATAAACATTTGCACGCCATCAATGCGTTTTTTCTCTGAGAGATGTTTTAATCTCTTTTATATCACAATGCAAAAAAACTGGCCAACCAATTTTGGTCACGTGCCCAAAATAGTCGCTATTGTTACATAAAACTACGACTTGGTGACACTCAAGAACAGACCAACATTTTACGTGTGAAAAGCAGATATTTTAACATTTCCATTCTAACTTTATAAGAGTACAGTAGCCCTATATTTTAGCGGGACAAACCATTTTGCTTAAAAACACTGGGAGAAAAAGATCAAATTAATAAAGGATAGAAACATATAACCAAAAATGCCATTCAATTCCCACAAAACGTTACATTAGAAAATCAGGTGTGGAAGAATTTCATAGATCAAGATTTGTGTCATAAATTTGTGTCACCTTAAATTGCATGACCTCTTTTTTCAGTTCTTAATCGACAAAGGGCGTTAAACTGGCACAAACCACTTTCACACACACCCTACCTCCTGTTCCCATTGACAAAGTGCAGGACCCGCCCTGGGTTTCCATCTCTATAAGAGGTCAAAGCCAGACTCAAAGGTGCCATCCTCGCCAGGACAATCTACCGGTTTCCTTCAGTGTCCTCTCTGGGTTCGTCTCATCTCATCTCTGCATTCATCCACCATGTCGTGCTCTCTCCTTACGTCATCATGCCTCGGTCCCAAGACCATGACCTCAAAATCCATAGTTACTCCAATTAGCTATGGTAAAATAACTAGCTGTACACCTAAAGCCTACAGTGTGTGTGGCTATGATTTTGGAGGAAACACTCGCATCTCTTCCTCCTGTTATCGCAACGTTGGTTGCTATCCAGATCTGCGTTGCAAAGTCGGTGGACTTTATGGCAGACTGAACAATGGAGGATTGGGAATCATGTTTGGGAACTGTGACTACATGCAGCTCAACGAGAAGACCACCATGCAGAGCCTGAACGACCGTCTGGCATCCTACCTGGAGAAGGTGCGCTCCCTGGAGGCTGCCAATGCCACTCTGGAGAGGCAGATCCGCGAGTACTATGAGAATAAGGGGCCGATCTGCCAGAGGGACTACAGCGCCTACTGGAACACCATCGATTGCCTGAAGGAAAAGGTACACGTGTACTTTCATAAGGGATGAAATGATGAAAAAGTATGCACTGCATGAATATATTTTTATATCAATGTTCTACATTGATAGATTGGAGCTGCTACCATCCACAACGCCAACATCCTCCTGCAGATCGACAACTCTAAACTGGCTGCTGATGACTTCAGGATGAAGTGAGTTCTCTTAAATTATATTCCTCTGTAACCAGTTTGCTAGCTTCAGCATCTTAACAGATTGTATTGGCCAAACATGATTGGTGAGTTTATTCCCCATCCTGCCACTCCACCCACCAATTACGTAGATATAACCACGAGTTGGCAGTGCGGCAGTCTGTGGAGGCTGACATCGCCAACCTGCGTCGCCTGCTGGACCACACGACCCTGACAAAGGCCGACCTGGAGGCGCAGATTGAGACTCTGCTGGAAGATCTAGCGTGTTTGAAGAAGAACTATAAGGAGGTTAGTTTGATTAAACTCTGTATTAGTGATCTTGACAGCTTGAGAACTTGCAATGAGATAGTCAAGACCTGATGCAGGAGTACCGTGTGGTTACAGGATATTGAAGCACTACTGTGTCAGTTGACAAACACAAAAGTGTGTGTGGAAGTGGATGCCGCTCCTCAGCAAGACCTGAACAAGGTTTTGGAAGAAATCCGTTGTCATTACGAGACCATCATTGATAAACACCGCAGAGAACAGGAGTGCTGGTTCAAAGAGAAGGTGAGACTTCAGCCTCTGTTTCGTGAATCCTAATTTGCCCTCATATATACAGTAGTGGCAGCCATTTGATATGAAAAGAGCAACTGACAGTATGCATTACAAATGATGATAGTTCTCATGTTGTGTGTGTGTTTCTTACTCTCTTTAAGACGGCACAACTGTGCAAAGAATTGGCCTGCAACACAGAGTGCCTAGAAACCTCTAGGTCACAGATCTCAGATTTGCAGCGTACCTTGCAGTGCCTGGAGATCGAGCTGCAGTCTCAGATCAGCATGGTGAGAATGAGAAATCACGTTTTAGCTAAACTAGCATGAAAAATGTAATTGTTTAAGTGATTTGCGCTAGAACAGATTTTAAAACGCACTGCATCATGAACTTGCCTGTATTATAAATGTTTCAAGAGAAAAACTGGGAATCATACAAACCACTGAGGAGGATCACACTCAGTCATTTTAGTTGTGAACTGGCATGCCTTAAAGTGACTTTGGTGAGAAATGTGAAGGAATTATCTAGTCTTGTCTTGTCTTTACCCACACAGAAAGCAGCTCTGGAGCGCTCACTGTTGGAAACAGAGGCTAGGTACAGCAATATACTAGCAGGCTTTCAGAAGCATATCAACTCATTGGAGGCAGAGCTTTGTCAGGTGCGCTCTGGCATTGAGCAGCAGGGCAGAGACTATGCTGTACTGCTGGACATCAAGAGCCGTCTGGAGCAGGAGATCGCCACTTACAGATGCCTCCTGGAAAATCAGGGCGTTCAGTAAGTTCATCTTTTTATTTCAAACAATTGAACAAGGATGGGGAAATGGGTGTTGCGTGATGTTTTCTTCTGAAAAAAGGACCTCACTAATGGACTAATCTTTTCCCCCTCTTATAGGACTCAAGCACAGGGTAAATAAAATCTCTCTTATTTTGTTATATACCGTGGGGGTGATTTGGGTCAGCTTTAGATTGCGTGTTAATTATTAATATCTTTTTTTATTTCCCTTTTAGGAGAGGTGTTTGTGTGTACAACGCCAATCAGTCAAATGTAAACAAGTCATATGAACAACATCAAATTTAAACACAGAACATAATGATGTCATAATGCAACTGTAGCATTCTGTATTGACTGTCGTACATTTCAAAATTAAAGTTGAGAAGCAAAGTTTTCTTTTTCTTGATTTATTAAAACAGGTAGCTTGGAAATCTGCAGAAAGTAAATTTTGACTATGTTCATTGAACTCTTATTTTATTTTAAGAGGCCCTTTTCAACAAGTGATATTCTGAGTGGAAGAGGCATCATGACCTTTAATAAAATTCGATCCCAAAATGTTTGTTTCTGTTTCTATATTTCAATGTATGAATCAATGATAAAACACCTTCTCATTATGTTGATGAATTAGAGTTCCTATAGGCATTTATTGATGCACTTTATTCATTTAATATGAATTATGTATTCATATTACGATATTAGTTGTAAGCTAGGCCTACTATTTGCATGTTTAAAGGACAGACAAGATTTACATGTGTGTACAGAATATATAGAATATTTCTATATCCTTGGGGTTTACAAATGTTTAACATAAGACAAAACTAAAATTTTGACAATAACATTACTGACCTGTTGATTTCATATCGGCCTGAAGCTGAATTCTTAACCTATCAATATTTGAGAAATAAAATAACGCTAGATAGACAAAAACACAAAAAAGACCAAGTCTCACTGTATCGCTCAGGCTGCACTGCAGAGTCTATTCACAGGCGCATCCCACTACTGATCGACACGGGGACTTTGACCTGCTCCGTCTCCGACCTGGGCCGGTTCACCCCTCCTTAGGCGACCTGGTGGTCCCGGGCTCCCCCAGAATCACCATATCGATACCGAACTTAGCACGGACACCCGATCGACATAGTCCACTGCAGTCCAGAACCCCTGAGCTCAAGCGATCCTCCAGCCTCAGCCTCCCAGCAATGGCGCCACCAGGGGGTGGCCAGGGGTGGCCATGGCCACCCCTGGCCGACTCCTGGCCACCCCATTGGCCACCCCAATGGCCAGTATTAATTTTTGTAGCATCAGTTATGCATTTTATAAATAATTCAAAAATATTCTTAAGTAAAAGAACTCCCAGTAGCTTGGACTACAGGCGCGCGCCACTGCACCCGGCGAGAGCTGTGAGAATCAGCGCTGCTACTGAATCCAGTGGCTCACAGCGCCCTCTAGTGTATGAAAACAAAATACCAGGGAATGAGGCAGGCAGGATCCGATGAACTAAAGCATTTTACAATCTCTTTGGTAGCTATATTGTTAAAGGTAAGAGGTGACTAACACAATACAAATATTTTGATTCAATTAGTTGTGAGGAAGTTACATTGACATATTACAATCATGTTGAATCTACAAATGTATATTGTGTTCACATAAAATATTCAAAGTAGTTGACGTTTACTTGATTTGATTATGCACAATGGGTGCTACGTTTAAATCACGTTCATTTAACAATTTATTTTAATAAAAAAAATCATGTTTATTCAACAAATTTATTGTTTTTGAGTGTACCTTTCTCTGTAATTACAGTGCAAATAGTGTTGTTTCGTATTGCTGCATAGTAACTCCTGCGGGCTGTAAATTAAAGTGGTGCTTGTTACCCCTTTATTACCCAAAACTTAACATATTGTTCCCTTATACCTACATGGATATAATTACAGAAATACACCGTAATTTCAGTGTACTTACACAGTTGTTTGCGGGTCGTAAAATAAAGTGTTACCAGCATGCACTCCTAGGGAGTAGGCCCATGTCTTTTCTGCGCCATGTTTGGCCTGAGGAAAAAAACATTCATATCTATCTCCCCTGGAACAGATAATCAGGTAATGCAGATCAAACACATGTATTTTTTGACATGCCATCTGTCACTGCAAAAAAAGTTGAGAAGTTGATCAGTCACGAAATGAGAACTTTTGTAGTTAATTTTTATCGTAGCCATATGTCATAAAGTGTTTATTTCTGAATGTGATTGATGTTGATACATTTTACCAGTATTTACCATACACAAAAATTTAAATATTTTATATAAAAAATATGCAATATGAAAATTATACATTTTCTTTAATTTAATTTTCCTTTTCCAAGATGTAGGGTATCTTGACATCTTGGTCATCTTATATTCATGGTCGTCTTATATTCGGAACAATTTGTTAGCCTACAAAAAACCCTGAAGCACCAAAAGTCGATTTATTATCAATAATGGAAGCGGTTGTGCTGCTTAATATTTTTTGTAACCTTTGATACTTACTATCACTTTTTATCAATGTAGCACATCATTGCTGAATAAAAGTAGGCTATTAATTTATTTCAAGTTATGATTAAGTTAGCAATGAAGAAAAAAAAGTATATTTGAAGAAATGTACCACTTACCTTTAACAATATAGCTACCACAGAGATTGTAAAATACTTTAGTTCACCCTGCCTAATCGCTCGCTAGTACTGTGTTTTCATACACTAGAGGGCGCTGTGAGCCACTGGATTCAGTAGCAGCGCTGATTTTGAGTAGGGGGAGACCATGGGGGAGACTGCAGTTTTAAGCCCCTGTTGTTCCTTATGCGTCCAGTAGGGGAAGGCTGTACAGCGACACGAATTGAGGTAACCTATGTTTAATAATATATATATTTGAATTAATTTTGTATTGCAAATGATAGGATACAGATATTAACAGTGAAAAGAGAAAAAAAAGCAAGGGGGGCATAAAAAGAGATTGAACTAGGCTATACAAATCAATACAATTTTACATTTTGTCTTAAAGGTTCTTTACAACAGACTCAAGGATATTTGTTTTAGAAACCTTTGAGTTTAAAATTTTTGACATTTTCAAGAAGAAAAAAGGAACTTTATGGAGGAGAATATTCTTAAATCAGGATTAGGCCTACATTGAATGGTTCTGTCTTAATGAAGATGAAACTTGCCCAGAAGACAAAGTAAAAATACTGTATAATCAAGATTAATATCGTTTGTTAGAATGATAATCTGACATTTCTGTCATTTGTATGTTAAATAATCTTACAAACTCTAAAAAGTTAATGCTGTTTAGCAATGATGCAACATTATAAATGATTATAAATATTATAAACGATTAGCTTGATAGAGCATAGGTATCAATTAATTTCTATGGGTCTATAATTTATTTTGAAAGACAAAAAGTTCTTGACGGTCAGGTTTATGTTCTGGCTTAAACTTAGAATAACACGTGTAGGTTTAGCTGCCCCTAATCTTAAAATTAATTTTCTTTTTAATTTTCTTTTGTTGCCTGTCTTTAGCTTGTATATGAGATTCTGGTAAGATCCTGTTTACTCCTTGCATTGTCCACACTAACCTGACATCACTTCTGGGCAGCACACACACCCACACACCCACACCCACCCACAGTGAAGATCAAATCACCATGGATGTCGTTTTTAATTTTTTTTTAAGTTTGATTTATTTATTTATTTTATCAGTGAGCGGGAGCCCTTTGACAGGAGGATAGAAAAATAGCTAAAGAAGAGTGGCAAACCATATGGGAATCATCATAATTCATAAATGGTGTTAGCCTATATATTTTTGTGAACAACATTGTCTCTTTCTTCTAAGTGGCCCTTGGAATTTTAGAAAAGGGATAAATTGTGTTTGTCTTCATAAAATGAAACTGTTGTAGCTGTATGACGACCAATAGAGAATAGTATAGCAGATATTTCATAGAGGATATGCATATGATTACACTGTATGGGCTAAATTTGGTTGATATCTAAATGTAACTTTATATAAATTCACAACGACATTTCAATTGAATATTCACATATTTCTCCTGTATATAAAAAGCTAGTGAATAGGCCAATAAATGCAGTAGGTCATTTCATTACTTATCATAACACTGTTGATCCTATGTGTATATTTTTAATTTTTCAATTCACAAAAACAAATATTCTCCTCTTTACACAGATCACTCTAAATTGGTCCTCACCTCCAGTAGCTTTACTAACTTTCAACCATGATCTTCATCTAAATTACTTAACATAATTTCTCAAATGAAATTAACATTCTGTCAATCAGGGGCCGCATTCACAAAAAATGTATCTTACCACTAGGAGTACTCCTAAATTGCACTAAAATATTTTAGCTAGGAGTTTTCTCTTATTCACAACGCCTTTCTGACCTACTCTTAGTAAGGAAAAATGACAACTCCTAAACTAAGAGTGAGTCTTCGTTGCTATGGATGACGTCTATTCTCATGCACGAGCTTCCTCGCAATGATCACGGTGATAGGTTGTTAGATGACAGGGCCATCATGTGGAACATAACACAGCAACAAATCATGGAATTACGACATCTAAATATGTCTGTGTCCTACAAAATAATAATAAGAAAAATTAAAGCTGCAAGCAGCATTTAGCGGGGTTCAAGCAGTTTAGGCCGTTAAGGCCTTTAAGCACAAAAGCATCAAAAGACATTAAGGTTTAAGTTTCAATAATGGCAATTTACCATAGGGAATACATTGTTTTTAACATTTTTAACAGTTATAGCGCCACCTATAGTCCGATCTCCATGAAACTTTGCATGCTTGTTGAATAAGTTATGACACATGTGCTCATCAATTTTTGTGAAGTTCTGACTTTTCCTTTAGGATTTATAGGCTTTTGGGTGCATTTTGTCATGCCCCCTTTTATAAATGACCCTGTTATAGCAAAACAAATGACAAAGTTCAACTTTTTTTTGATAATTATTGATCTAGAGTGTCCAAAGAATTGTCCTAGACTGGTCTGGTTCCGATCCGGCAAAAAACCAGGGACTAGTTCGCAAAAGTACGTTTTTAACATATTCGTGAATATTTAACGAACGATTTGATTGACAGCAATGGTTCTTGAGGCAAAGTTGTTCAGCATGAGGAGATCTATCAATTGATATACATATTGTGGGGGTGTGTGCAACACCACGTGATAACAGAGCCATAAAACTCGTTAGCGCCAACTAGTGGCCGATTTCTTTCAAAATTCTTACAGATCTCTAGGGGCATGAGTCAAACATGCCCAACGAGTTTCGTTCCGATCGGCCTTCGTTAACCTTGTTTTATAGGTGCTCAAATTTCATTGGCCGATGGCGGCCATGTTTTTTGAGATACACCAATGTCCTCATACACATA